ATATTTGCCTGTCCTTATTCCGGGTGCTCTGAATGAGCTCATAGTGTTCTTTACAGAATAAAACTGTTTGTTGCTATATTGATTGATTTCTGGTTGTCTGAAAAAAGTTGTTGATACTAGAGGTAAACAGGTTGAGAAACCTCTTATACCTATTTGTAAAATTTCTATTTTATTTTATCTGATTATAAAATAATTTTTATGTATTTTTAAAATTTTTTATATTTTTGTGGGCATATATAACATGCGCATATATAATATAATATATGCACATATATGTAATACATATACACATATATATAAAATATGTGAATTTTAATTTAAGACAAATTAACTGGCCCCAATTAGTTTCATCAAATCTGGCCCTGGTATTAGTAAAATATTAGTACTGCTTCCTTACTTTTGGATGGGCTTTCATAATACTATTTTCTATTTAATCTGTCATTATAGAAAAGTTAAAGCAACTTTTTACAACTGGATTTCCTTTAAGCATAAACCTGTTTGGTACACCAGGACTGAGTATTTTTGTGATATCATAAGGAGGATTACCTGTTAAGGTTTACCTTTACCTACAACTAAATTGACAATATTTTATTAAAATTTTCTTTCTTCTAAGTAAGTTGCCTTCCTCGCAGCTAAACAGCCTCACCTGTCTCAATATAGATCATTTTAATGACATGATCATCAATTAAAAATTACGGTTGATATTTGATTTAATTAAACTTAATTATTTTAGTAATATACCATAACATCAATATTGTATTTAAGCTTATATATTTATACAACACTGCATATACAATTTTTTGTGCCTGAGTACAAAGTGTGTTTTCCTAAACCTCAATAGGTGAAAAATATAAAAACAGTTGTTCTTCTGCAACAGCTTTTCTTATGTAATCAGCATGATATTTTCAAGTTTGCTCATTTTCGAAAAAAAATCATTTGCATTTAAGATATTGCATTTAACACTAAATATGAAATTTACATTATTAAATCAATATTACAGAACTAGCAACAACAGACATTCTTTATGGGAAAGACCAACATCAAAAGTAGAGTTCCTGATAGAACCTGGTATAGTGTTGATGGCGCCACTTATCACCATTTTAGCACTATTGTTTCTGTGCTTGTACACAAATATTCATCATGATGGCATTTTTCAAATAAATACAAACTTAAGCATCTTTCCTCTTTAACTAAAGCTTTTTCATGTTATCTGCAATCAGAGTTGTTAGTTCTTGGCCTTGATCTTGGCCTTGCCTTAAGATCAAAAATTAAGGCCTAGATCTTGGTTTTGGCCTTAAAACTGTTGACCTTGGCCTTGGCTTTGAACATTTTGGCCTTGGCCTTGAGCGTTTTGGCCTTGGCCTTTCACCATTTCTTAATAATTTCAGAACTTTCTTTCGTGTTTGCGTTTTAAAAATTGCATTATAGTTGATTTCATCTACAAGAGTTATTTTTGTTTACCTATAAGCATTTGAACTTAATTTTATGTTTTATTTCGATTTAGGTTGCCATTGATTAGCCATATTAAAACAAAAATCAATGACATGATTGGTTAACCGGAATTTAATACATCCATATAATAAGCCTCTGAACTATCAAAGATTTACAGAAGAACAACACCAGAAACTGCTTTGATATCTTCTAAAAATAGTGTTACACCTCAGTACACCAGATTTAAAAGCTCTTTACCAAAAAATAAAAAATAATAAAAAAATTAGAAATATATATTTGACAAGTATTTGTGTGTCCTTGCAACTTCAGCTGAAGCTGTTATCTTCCTACACACTGACACTAAATCATCTGCATCTGCTCAACATGCTCACACCACCTTAATCTTTCCCAACACTCCAAATAAAACTCATTATTCTTAGCCTCAGATCATTGATTCATTAAATATCTTCAATAATTACACCATACATTTAACTGATCATCATCTCCGTTCTTTCAAGATGCTGGACACCATCAACCTTTATTTTCCACGTTACACTGCCATACATCATAACACTCTGTACATGGTCCATAACTATCCTTTGATCTTTGATGATGCTTTCCTTTCTTTTTTAGAAACAGAGATAATTCTTTGAACTTGCCTCTGGAGCACCTTACTCTTGTTGTTGATAATTTTTCTGATCTACCAGCTGATTCAACTGTATCTCTAAGATAACAAAATTTATCAACACGTTCTATTTTTCCACCACTATTTCGATATCTTTTTCTTTTTTTTTCAACCCTCATCCTGACTTTCTGTATTCACAGTATATTTTTATACATTTAAAACCGTTGAGTACAAAAAAAAAAGGAAATTTTTCCCATAAAAATTTTCTATATAAGCTGGTTCACTTATACATTTGTTACAATCATTATATAAGAATGGTAATGTAAAAACAAACTTAATTTGCACAAAAAAATTATAAATTAAATGAGTCAACTTTTATTTAGTATCCTTACTTTTTTGTTGCTGTTGTTGTATTTATCCCACTATTAAGTTTTTGTAACAATTTATTGATTTTTTTTTTTTTTTTCATTATAAAAATCACAAAATATTCTGATAATTAGAAGCTACCTTTAAAATGTTACATACAGTGAAATTATACATACAGTGAAACTATACATATAGTTGAAACTTTAAGTGTATTTTTTTTTCTATAGTCCTGAATCATGGACTACTTACTTACTTGTCACTCAATTATGAAAAATACTTTTTACATTAGCATTTTAGCTAGATACTGCATAAAAAAAAAAAAAAAAAAAACTGAAAATCTTAGTATTTTAGAATGAATCTTAAAGTATTTATTTTGAAGTATTCTACCCTTAAGGGCAAAAATAAGGTTTTTAAAAAGTTAAAAAAAAAAGATTTTTTTCTCTGAAAAAATACTTTTAAGTTACGAAAGTTGTTGAAACAATTTTTTTTTTTCAATTACTCATTTCCATTAAATTCGCAAAAATCTTCTAAGACTTATTATCCTTTTATTTATTTTAAATGTTCTATTAGTATAAATAAAAAAAGTTATACAGTTTTATAATGATTGAATCAAAATCTACTGGCAAAGATTCTACAGTCATATCAGTGAGAGCAAGAACATCGCATAGTTCTTTAATTTTCTCCAATTCTTAATTGGAAACATTAAATTCTTGTTCAAGATGGATTAATGCTACTTTAACTTCTTTGTGAACTTCATAAAGTTTTTGAAGCATTTTAATAAGGCTGTTCCATTGCTCTTTACGATCTAAAAATAAAGCTTTTTTTTTTTTCCAGAAGACTGAATATTTTGAGGTTGAAGATTGTCATCATTTCTGATATGGGACTTTCTGAAGACTTAGCAATTTTACAAATTTTAGCAACAATAGCGCCAATATCAGAAACTAGGTTTGTCTAGCTGTTTAATTCATCACATTCCTATTATTTCTTCATAATCTTCTTCCTCTGCAATTTCAAATTAAATTAAATTATTGTTTATCTTTATGTTTATCTTATCTCGTTTATCTTATGAGGTTTATAAAGTATATTGCAAACACAAAGGTCTGCCATATACTCTATATAAAAAAGAATATGGTAAAACTATCACCATAAATGGTTATAGTTCAAGGCTAAGGCCAAATTTTTAAAACCAAGACCAAGGCCTTATTTTTTGCCATAAGGCAAGGCCGAGGGCTAACAACTGTGTGGGTAAACATATATATATGTATACTTTAAATTCACTATAAATCTTTCACACGCTGAAAATCTCAATTTTAATTTATTAATATTGTATTAGTACTTACACAAAAGCTATGGGCTAAGCTGGAAACTTCAACAAATTCAATAAAATATAAAAAGTGGGTTTATATTATAAAATCTTTTTATACAATTAAATGTCTTCACAAAGTTGATCACAGCCAAAAATGTTCAATTACAGAAATGACTTTTGAAAAACTTATCAAATTTAAAATTACCTGAAATTACCCAGGTAACATGTAAAAAAAAACTTGCAAATTATCCGGGTAAAGGTTAAGGTAATACCCAGGTAAGAAACACTGACCAATACCAATCTTTTCCAAACTTTGTTATTTAAAAACAAATTTAAAACAGATTTTAAAACAAATTCACTGAACCTTTTTGAGCTAAATGTGAAGTTAATTTAAACTTTGCTATTTATTCTTTGAAATTTAGTGTTGATGGCTACTATCTTTAGGTTTGCAAAGACTCCGATAATCACATACTTATCTATACACTTGTATAATACCAAAGAACAGTAAATTAGTAATTTAAGATTTATAAATATCTATTTTCATTAGACAAAAAAAACTTACTAACCAGATGAACAGTCGTTAATTGCTAGCTCAGTTTCATCCTAAATTAAAATAGAAAATAAAATAAAAAGCTGGTATCAAAACAAGTGCCAGCCATTGGGAAGGTCAAAGACATTAAAGATCTCCTCTAAAATTCCTGACAACATTTCTGAAAGGAACATCCAAAAATTAGTCACTTAATCTAAAAAAATGACTAGTTGGTTGTCTTTTATTTGATTTGTTAGACATGAGATATTTAAAAAAAATAAAAATCTTACACAATTTATACAAAAAAAAAAAAAAAAAAAAAACATTTTTTTATTAAAATATTTGCTTTGATAGATGTTGCCACAAAGGCTTACTATACTGCCCTTGTACTGAAGAAGGTATCAAGTTCAAATTTATTAGTTTTAAGAAAATACCTTAACTTTTAAGACAGATAAAAATCTTAATAAATAGAATGATAATATTTACATTTAAATTTACTGTTATACATTAATATTGAATTTAATGCTGCTGCTGTTCTTATTCATTTTTGTATGTTTGATACGAAACTCATGTCAGCCAAAACACCCAAGTTAATAGCGAGAAACAGACCCAGCATTTTTAATAAGAAAATGTGAAAGAAAGTATATGTAAATATCTAATTTATGTAAACTTCAAAAAAAAAACTTTTTATTTTATTTAACTTCAAAAAATATCAAAATAATATCAAGTTTTACTTTTACCTTTAAAATTGTATCTCCATATTTTTTATTTATAACACTTATTTGTTGTTTTATAAAATTATAGTTTTTTGCTTAATAAATAATGTTAAAAAATAAAAGTATAGTATGCCTGGGTGGCCAAAGCGGTTAGTTGCTGTGCTTCCAAGGTGCATCGTGGGGGTTTAAAACCTTTCTTTTTTTTTAAATTTTTGCAAACTACTTACTATTCTAAATTACAAAAGAAAAGTTCTATAGATACCATAAACATAACATATATACCATAAACATAACATATATAAAGATATTAAAGAATTTTTTTAAAAATCTTAAAATTTCTATCAACATCAAACATTAGGAGAAATTTGTTGCATATAAGTCATGATAGATAAATATATGTTAATATTGTGCTTAGGTAATTAAATTTCTTAAATTCTTGAGAATTTTCTTAAATTCTCAAGAATTTAAGAAAATTCTTCTTGAACTCTGTAGCTGTCAATTTTACAATGATCTTATTTATGTTCCCCATCACCAGCTCAATTGACTCAATAGTTCTGTAAGGATAAAGAAATGCTAGTTTATTAAATAAATGTATATAAAAAGCTCTAAAAATCCTAATCAGCTTTATGATGAGATATTCATTCTAAATAGATATACATTTGTTGACTTATTTTGCTTACTTTTACTTTTTTTAAAAATAAAGAAAAAACACTCTTGAAAATAATATTTGGACAATATGGCAAAACTGTAACCATTGATTGGTGGAGTCGTTGCACATATGTCATTGAATGTATTGAAAATTCCATAAACTATACAAATTTAAAAAACAATATTTAGACTAAAATAAGAAAAATTGGTAGTATGTAAAACCCTAGACATGATTGCTGCTTACTTTTTGATCCACAGTTGTCAATACAACAGGATCACACTATATTTTTATTTTTATCATTCTATATTTTTAATTAATGCAGAAGTTCATTAATTTGGACATCCACCCAAAAAAACATGAAGCAGGCATATATTTTTTTTCAGTGGAATATTTTGCAACTTGTTTTGAAAGGATGTATTAAAACGAAGGTAGAATCAAAAATAGTTGGTTGATTAAATAATAGGTTCCATACCTCATTTCCAACCGCCAAGTTGATTTGGACAATGCCTAAACACTCAAGTCTATAATGTCTAAGTAAGGTAAGTAATCTTTGTCAAAAGGTTTTAAACAAAAATTTACCCTTTATCTTTCTTAAATAAATTTATCTTTCTTAAATAAAAAATTTACCAGTAAATTTACTAGTAAATTTTTCATGGAAATTTAAAAAATAAAATTTAGTGGTAAATTTTATTTTTACATCACTATTTCTAAGAAAAGTTATGAAAGCATCAAATACATGCACTGTTGACGTTTCAAACTTTAATCTTTTTTATTAGAATTTTTATTAGAAGAATGTTAAAAGAAACTTTTAAAAGTTGTTCGAAAAGTAATGTGGTAACTTATAATCTGAGTAGATTTTTAATGAGCTACTTAGTAGGAGAAGTAGTAGTAATAGTAGTAGTAGTAGTAGTAGTAGTAATAGTAGTAGTAGTAGTAGTAGTAGTAGTAGTAGTAGTAGTAGTAGTAGTAGTAGTAGTAGTAGTAGTAGTAGTAGTAGTAGTAGTAGTGGTAGTGGCAGTAGTAGTGCCTATTTGTGTAACAGAACTTTTTGGAGCCATTGCAAGGGAGGTTATGGCACGAGTGTCGCAGCACAATTTTTATAAGAAAATGTAAACAGAAGTATATGCAAGTATCTAACTTATATAAACTTCAAATTCAGATTTAAACATATATCAAGTTTTACTTTTACTTGAAAATTGCAAAAAACATCTCCTTAATTTTGATTTATAGCATTTATTTGCTGTTTTATAATGTCTTTTGTTTATTAAATAGTGTAAAAATATTTTTCAAATAATATGTCTTAGTACCCAAAATGGTTAGCTTGCAGCATTTCTGAAATGAATTGCAATGGTTCAGATCACGCTTGCACATTTAATTTTCTTTAAATCTTTCTCAATTTTTTAAAATACAAGATATAACATTTTTGAAGTTTAATAGATATTATAAACACAACTATAGATATTGTATATAAATATAATATATATTGTAACAAACAATAGGAAAAGAATTTCAAAAAAATCAAAACACCGAATTTCGTTGTACATGTGTAAAGATAGCGATACTTATATTATTAATGTGTTCAGGTAATCAGTAAAGTTTGTGCATTTTAATAACACACATATCAACACACATAACAACACATATAAAAGAGACAACTTTCTTTTTTTATATAGGAAAAAAGATTTTACATTTAAACTTTTATCTTCTTAAAAATTGTTTTTTTTTTTATAGAAGTTTACAATTTTAAAATAAGAAGGTACATGTATTGAACATGTACCTTCTTATTTTAAATTAATTTTCTGCTTCTAATTGTTTTGAGTTAATCGTTAACTCAAAACAATTAGAAGCAGGTACTAATATCCCAACCCCTAATATATATATATATATATATATATATATATATATATATATATATATATATATATATATATATATATATATATATATATATATATATATATATATATATATATATATATATATATATATATATATATATATATATATATATATATATATATATATATATATATATATATATATATATATATATATATATTAGGGTAGAGCAATTTTAAAAATTTTTGAAATTTGACTTGCTTGAGCTGCGAATCGATGTCTTTTGATGAAAAAAGAACCTTACTTTTTTTTTAATTTAGATGAGTTTTTGAGGTTCCTCTTTGGATTCTAAATTTATGATGGATCCTAATATTGTTGAAATTTTTTTTCTTCTAAACTATATCAACTTGGTACTTAAAAGAAGCAGAATAATATGCTAATTTTGAAAATAATATTTGTTTTATTTCAAAACTAAAGAAAAATAAATTGTGTCGTTTTTTTAATAAAAAAACCCCAGTCTTCATCAAAACTGGGGTTTTCAAGGTAAATTTTTGCAAATATTTGTTTCACTTAAATTTTTTTTAAATAGATTTATTGTTGATAAAACAAGCATTTTTTTCTGCTTTTTTTGAGTCCAAGGTTGATATCGTTTAGAAAAAAAAAATTCAAAAATATTAGGATCCGTCAAGAATTTAGAATCCAAAGAGGAACCTCAAGATCTCATCAAAATCAAAAAATATTTTTTTACTTTCATCTTATAATTAATAGAAATCGATTCGTGTCTCAGGAATATTGATTTTTTTGCTATGAAAATCACTCTACCCTAATATATATACATATATACACAGGGCTAAATTTAACGGAAATTAAACTCTATTCTTATTAAGTTATTAAACTGTATTGCAATATTACCATTACAGATATTATGCTATGAGTTTATTTTCTAGACATTTCTTGAGTTAATATACATGTTTACTTAGTGATTATTTTACTACTTAATATATTGTAATAGGAAGTTATCTCATGGTAATAAAAATTAACATGTGTCTTTTATCAGGTGAAGAAAATACTGACCAGCATATCAGATGTTTACTATATTATAGTAAAGTACTTATGAATTTATAATTCAGTCTAAATTTAAAATGACTTAATAATATAATAATATATTTTCATGATTAAAATTATCAAGGTATGAATGTTTTTTCTTTAATAAGTGCTTCTACATTACAAAATGTTTAGATACTTACGATAATGAAGAGGATCAACAGTATCTCAAGTCTTAGAAAATTTCAAAAGTCTAATGTTGTTCCTATTTTTGTTTAAAAAAGTATTGAAGAAGAAAAAAAATCCAAAATAAGATAGATAAATAATTTTCATAGTATTTTTGAAATATTTGTAAGTGACCCAGCCCCTACCATAAATGCAAAAACATGAACTTTTTGTTATTTTGGACTGCTAGAGCCAAACTTTTATCTGCACTGGTGGGGGAGTTTTTTTTGATTTTGAAAAAAGTTTTTAATATCTCATGTTAATATGAAAAATGTTCACCTTTTGCAGCTATGGCTTAAAAGCACATTTCATTTTCCAAGAAAATGAAATGTGCTTTTAAGCCATACCCCTAATAAAAATATATCTTTAAAGATACATATACATATATCTAATATACATATACATATGCATATATCTTTAAATAAACATTGCTTTTTTGATTCTAAATAGAAATTTATTTTCATGGTGGCATTTTGATGTAAGCTCGTTTATAATAGTGACATAAGTTAATACAATAATCATTAACACAATTAAAGTAAAGCCTTACAAGTTTCATATAGCAAGCTGATCTATTTGAGTACAATATGGAGAGTGTCTTAGAAAAACACTTTGGACACTTAGCAATACCTTGACTGTAAAGATCAATAGCAGGCTCATACTCTAAAATAAAAAATTGCCAAGTATAGTCAAAAAAATGTAATAAAACAATAAATAATAATAAATAACTTTAAAAAAAAAATGTTAAAACAAACCTGATTTCAATTTTTAAAGACAAAATTTTGAAGATTTTGAGCTTATCTGAACTGAATAAAAGCTTTTTCATGTGAAACAATTTAGAAAATGTAATTTAAGGTCACAGACTTTACTTATTTTACACCAAAGAAAGTTTTTAATAAATTATGACTATTCCCAAATTTTTATCATCTGATAAAATTCTAAAGATATATTGTAAATTTGCCTTTAACCGAATCTGCCATTTTAAAAAATGATTCTGGCTTTTGTTTATGTTCTGTTGGCAATAAAAAGCTGAAAATATGTACACATTTTAGGGTGGGGAATCCAATAAAACATTTAACCCTTACACTTCCAGAAAGAAAAAAAAACAGCAAGTTTGCACATGAAATGACATGATTTAAAGGGTGTAAAAAAGAACCAAATGCCAGATTTTCTCAAATAAGACCTTTTTTATCAGAAAAATGTCAGACTGTAAATTTTTTAAAGATCTAACTTTTTTTAGTCTTGATCAAATACTATTTCTAGAATGATCACATTTATTAACAAATGTTATGACCCGCAGAGCAGATCACAGGGAATGTAAGGGTTAAAAGTAACCAAAACACTAATTTAAAAAATTATTTTCAAATATCTGTATTAATAAATTTAGAAAATTTTTTATATACCTGTTTTTAATGCCCAAGAAACCCATGTGGCCTTGATGATATCAAACAAAAAAAATTTTACACATTATTCTATATTCATTGATCTTTCAGAAAACATGAAGATTTCGATTGCAAGTATAGGATTTCTATATATGGATAACAGGGTATGGTCCCCACTTTTTTGTAGCAGAATTTGCAATTGATTTTTCTCTACCTTTCAGACTAGCTGGAGCTCTTAAACTTTTAGAATTTCTGAAGTGCAGATAAATGTGCATGTTAAAGCTGTTTTAAGGATCCTAGTCATCAACAGATGCGGGGAGGAGGGGGGAAAGGGGGAAGCCTGGGTCATGTGCTTTTGGCATTTCTGTAGTGCTAATGAATGTGCTTATTAAAGTTGCTTTCAGGGCCCAAGACACCAAGAGGGAGAAGCTGGGTTATGTATTCCACTTTTTTGCAGCAGAATCTTGCTATAGATTTTTTACTACTTTCCAGACAAACATGAGCTCTGAGAAAATTTCACCATTTGTGTATTCCTGATAAACATTTGTTAAAATTGTTTCCAGGACAGATGACCAGAGGGTCCATAAGGCCAGGGCACCAGGGGCCATCCCTCACTTTTCTCAAAAAAATTTTTTGACTTTAACAAAGTAAAGATAACTTTGAAAATATTGTCTTCAAAATTTTTTTGGTTTATACTTGTTCCATTTGGTTTTTGGTTATTCTATATTCAATGATTTTTCTTAAAATATTTAAAGAAAGTTCATATAAAGAATTAAGAATAAGAATTTTGATTTGCAAGTATACAGATTAAAAACAGCCATCTATCTAAAATAATGATTTTAACAGAATTTTACATTGTATAATTTTAATCTTTTTGAATTGAAAAAAGTTGATATTTTTTAATGCCAAAATGTTAACAGCAAGTTTTTAAGTAACTAAAATCCAACAGTGAAAAAAAAAAAAAAAAAAAAAACCTTAGTTTTACTTAATAAGAATTATTATCAATAACAAAAGAAACAACATGTCATTTTTAATTCAATCTGAAATACAACTTAGTAGTTAGTTCACTAGTATAGAAGAAATTTATTACCTATTAAATTCATCATTAACATTTGTAACATTAGCAAACTAATTACAATTAAACAACCCTGTTAAAGAGACAAAAAATTAACTTTTACATTAAAAATTTATAAAGTCAATCACTGTTTAGTTTTTCATTGCCATGGTATTTAAGTTGTGTTTATTATATTTATTATAAATTTCTCATTTTTAATTTAATCTGAAATGCAACTTAGTAGTTAGTTTTACAGTAAGAATGGATTCATGTGATTTTGGAAAACTGTCAAATTATAATTGTAATAAACTAATTTATATATAATAATATATATATATATATAATAATATATGTATATATATATATATATATATATATATATATATATATATATATATATATATATATAATAATATATATATATATATATATATATATATATATATATATATATATATATATATATATATATATATATATACAATAATAGAATCTAAAGATACTATTAGCTTTAAACAAATGAAGTGAAGATGTAATCAGCTAACACTGATACATTAAAATTTAGTGTAAAATTTATACTGTGTAAATATGGTATGTTTTGTTGGATTTGTAAAATAAAACTTATCATGAAATCTTTTCATGATGGCAGATTGTTAAAATTTTGTCATCTGTTATGGCAACGTTTATGCACCCCCATGGTCCTTTAAACGAACTTTTCAAATTATCTAGAGCTGATAAGTGTTGGGTTTTATATACCAACACAATATGTATCATTGATGCACCTATAACAACTACTGAATACATCTATACTTTGACTGTTGACGCATCTAAGCAAATCTTTGACACTTTATTTTTTTGTATTTTATTTTGTTAACAATCAAATAAAACAGAACAAATTATAAACCATAAAAATTTTTGAAGATAACATTTTCAAAGTTATCTTTACTTTGTTAAAATCAAAAAAAAAATTTCAGAGAAAGTAAGTGGGGCATGGCCCCTAGTGCCCCAACTCCATGGACACTGTGGTAGTCTGTCCTGGAAACAATTTTAACACATGTTCATCAGGACTACACAAAAGCTGTAATTTTCAGAGCTCCAGCTAGTCTGGAAGGTTGTGAAAAATCAATTACAGTATTCTGCTACAAAAAAGTGGGGACCGCACCTCGTTATCCATATATTGAAATCCATATATTTGCAGATCAAAAATCCTCATGTTTTCTAAAAGATCAATGAATACAGAATGTTTAAATTTTTTTTTTTTTTTTTGATCAAGGCCACATGGGTTTTTGAGCATCAAAATCATTTATATAAAAAATTGCCTATATTTATTTAAATTGATAAATACAGGTAATTAATTTTTTTTACATTTCTGATCATTTTATCGGATTCTTCACCCCTGAAAATACCCAGGTACTAATTTTTAAAAAAAAAGATTAAATACTTTTGAAGTTATGCAACTTGAAACCTCTAAATAAACATTTCAATTCTGAGGAGACAAGAAGGGCCTAGCCTATATCTACTAAAAGTAAAATGATCATATTTGAGGATCTTCTTAGAGCTAGAGGCTAAAATTTTCAAGGAATTCTTATTTTACTAAGCACTCTCAACAATATAAAAATCAGCTGAATCTGAGATATAGAGTGACATTTTAAAAAATTTCTGGGTCATTTGACATGGAATTACCCCAGCACGCTCTACCACTACAATACTACTGCACTAACTTATTGTTGCTGTTTCCTTGGCTACTTTATAAAATCTGAACTTAAAATTTAAATATTTTTTATAATTTTATTCACTTGAGTTAAAATATGAAAATGATGTAGTTTAATTAATTTTCCAGAAGTCATCTTGAATAGTTTTGCTAGAATTATGATAAAGAATTGGAAAGTTGTTTTTCATAAAATAAAGATAAAAAATATTGTGTTATAAATATTACTTATAAAAATAAACTTTATTTTTATCAAACTTTTCAGTCAAGACAAATGAACTAGAAAAAAAATTAAGACTTTAGGACAAATGAAAAACATTTGAAATTCAAGAAGAAGAAAAACATATATAAAAAAATCTTTAATTCTCTGCAATTAAAAAATCAATTAGTTATACAAATATAATCACTTTTATGTTATATATTTGTCCATATCATGTTGCTAGGACATTGATTATTAGATCAAATTGAATGCTGACTAAAGTTTGCCATTATATCAATCTAGAAACACTATAAAATATATATCATGCCATTTTGGCTCACATATAGGATATGTTTGTCAAATATGTAAAAATCTCAACAGCAAGCAATTTTAAGGATATCCCATCTTATATATATATATATTTATATATCTTGTATGTATATATATATATATATATATATATATATATATATATATATATATATATATATATATATATATATATATATATATATATATATATATATAACCCTCAGAATTAGGAAAAATGAGGTCGGCAATAATTTACCAACCTCAATCTTTTAGAGGTTGGCATCAGGTCGGCAAAAAAAATTTGATACAAAGGTAATTTTGATACAAAATTTGATGCAAAAAAAATCTAATCGCAAAAAATAAATCTTTTTTGAACACACCACCCATCCACCATCTTATCCCAGCGCCACTTTGCGGTAAGGGGAGGGGGTTGTGTTAGTATAAAATAGTATCTTTGTACATTAGTTTGTAATTGTAAATTTTTTTAAACATAATATCTGTCATATTTAAATATCATCTTTTTCACATTTTATCAATATATCAATTTTCACATTTGGCAGTGTTTAAAATAACGTAAGTTACTGTTATAGTTTACAGCTTAAGTTATAATTTAATGAGCAAGTGACATATTTAGTAATATGCTGTTTAAACAGTTTATAACGTTGATAACATAAAATGCATTTAAATTAAAAATAAATAAATAAATAGAATTGGTCAAATTAATAAGTTAAAATATTATCGTTATAAAACTTTAAACTTCATATTTGCACAAAAACATGCTATATCTATACGCCAAACGAGTAAGATCAAATCAAAAAAAAAATCAGATAACACATTTTTTTTAATTTCTTGATCTAGCATACTATTAAAAATTTAGGTATAATTAATTTTCAATCAAATGGTTTTTAAGTTAATGTTTTCATTAAATTTTTTTGTTCAATCATTTTTGTGATAAAAAGTGAGAGAGAAAAACTTGGTTTAATAAATCAAATTATATTTCTTTAAAGTATATGCTTAAATAATTTTTTTGGAAAAAAATTTCATTTAGCAGAAGTAAACTAATTTATTAAATTAAATTTTTGGTTTAATGTTTGCAATAATCATTAGTTTAATGATTGCAATATAAAATGTTTCTACTTTAAAAACTTTTTTCAAGAAAAAAAAAAAAAAAATTAACTATTCAAAATATTTATGATTTAAATAAAACTTTCTTGCTCGTGTGCACTATATTCTAAACTTATATTGTTATTGTAGATGTACTATGTTTTAAGTTATTGTAGCTAGATCTATGTTAAACTAGATGCGGTAGTGGTGTAGTGGTAAGAGCGCTCGCTTTAAAAGCAAGAGATTCGGAGTTCGACTCCCACCACGTCCCTGGAAGTACCGCACTCAACTCAATTTCTCCGCGCAGCAGCCTTGCTTGTCAAGGTTTGTGTTTCGGAGTTAAAGAGTTGAGAGAGGGTTGTACCACGATTTACAACAACAACAACAACAACAATAAAATGAGTAGCCTCCTCGACTGTAGTGGCCCCCTAGGGCCTTTGAAATGTGAATAATTAAAAAAATATATATTAAATCTTTTTAATTCTTTTTAATTTTTATTTTAAATTTCAATCGCAAAATTATTTGAATAAAAGAATTTTAGAGGGCTAAAATTAATTGGTTCAAATAGATTTCTATTTGAAATAAATCCTAGAAAGAACGTAATTTTTACATATTTATAGAAAATGCTTAATATTGAATAAAATGAAAATATTAAAAAATGGTTTCGCGTTTTTCATATTCTATTCGAAATTACTTGTTAAAATAATTTTTAGGTAAAAGCTTATTATATGTTAACAACATATAAGATATAAATAGGAACATTTGTATGACTAACTTTTGTGAGTCTTTGAGTATATTAAGTAAATTAATTAGTTAAGTAACTTAAGTGGTTGTTTTGATTTAGTTTATAGGTAAATTTACTGTGATGTGCTTTTATCCATTAAGTAAATCAAATTTGATATAATCTAAAAATATTATTGGCTTCTACACAGAGATTTAAAGTAATTTAAATTCAAAAGCGATATATGTTGAATGATTTCCATGCAAAAGAGCAAGTGATCATACTTTTATTCAAGACAAAAGAAAATTTTAGCCTGAATTTATTCTATTCAAAAGATAATTTTAGCCTGAATTTTTTCTATTCAAAAGAAATTTTAGCCTGAATTTTAACTTCATGATCCCTAATAAAAAACAGACAAAAACATTTCTTTTAAGAATAATTAAAAAAAATGCAAAGTTACAAAATCGCGAAAATAATAATAAAAAATTGCGAAAATATTTCTTTTAAGAAAAAACTAGTCGTGAAGGTGTGAAAAACAATATATATATGATGATAATATATATATATATATATATATATATATATATATATATATATATATATATATATATATATATATATATATATATATATATATATATATATATATATATATATATATATATATATATATATATATATAGTGAAGGTGTGAAAAACAATATATATATGATGATAATATATATATATATATATATATATATATATATATATATATATATATATATATATATATATATATATATATATATATATATATATATATATATATATATATATATATATAATACATTGCTTATTGAATTGCTTTAAGAACAAATTCTTTTTCTTAAAAACATATGAAAAAAAAAACCATTTTAAAAGTAAAAAAGAATTTATAAACCTCCTTTTGAAAAGAAAGTATTCCCTTCTTCTTTCAGTCTCTTTGAATCTTCGTGAAGCTTCTAAAAAAAATATCTATACATAAATTTATTCAAACTAAACATTTTAATCCCAATTTTAGCTTGAGTAAAAAAGTATAAATAACAAGTCAACTTACATTGTCTTGTGTATTGTGTATTATACATTATGTATAATATATAATACACAGGACAACAGTATCCTGATCTATAAAAAGATTATTGCAACAGGAAATTATTATAAGACGTCTGATGCAAATTTATTTTCTATATGGTAAAACCACAAGTAAAATAAGGAATATATTTGAGGAATAAATAGTTTAGAAAATGAAAAAATAAAAAATATATAAAAAATGAAAAATAAAATTAAAAACCTGTTTTTATTTAATTAATGCAAACCAACATCACTAGGCCATTAAAAAAAATTTAATTTAAAATTTGTTGAAAGATTACTGGAGTAAAATAAGTTTTTGAGATTAGTATGAGGGGAAGCAGCCTACAATTGTTCATTTTTTCTGACAAAATGAACAATATTTAGTTGCCCTCCTCTAGTGGGTCTTAAAGCATGCAATCATTAAATTCGGAACGATGAATTTTGTTTTAAAACTTGTTACTAACACATTTAAAATAAATTTTTTATAATAAATTAATTTTAAATTTTTTTTAAATTTTAATTTTTAAAAATCAATTTAAATTTTATTTTAATTTTAAAATTAAAATTAATTAAATTTTTTTTTTTTTTTTTGCATAATTACATTAAGTAATGATAGTATTAATTAAAAACATCAACAAATGAGTCAAAATATTTATCTTAATTAAAATATCATTGAAACAGTTAGAAAAACAAAAAAAAGTCTGCACAAATATCTACAAAATCCTTCTGCATCTTTACTTCAAATTGCTAAAGAATCTAAATCTAGCAAAAATACTGTTTAAATGATCATAAAACAAAACAAGAGCTCTCTAGAGACAAAGAAACAAGAGCTCTCTATTTATCGAAGGAATAAAAAGATTTGGAAGAAAGGCTTTAAGGATAAGAAAGCTGCAATTAGTATTCAACAAACATTCGCGCAAAATTCCGGCTTATTGAACATAGAACACGTGATAAGGTAAGTTTCAGAGTTTTTTGTCAGGAAAGTTAAGAAATTTAACTATTTCAGGTCTTGTCAAGCCATTAAATATCCAAACCGATCAGATAAACAATCACTGACTTTACGACGATGAAGTGCTTACAAAACTTAATGGCTGCATAATTATGGATGACAAAACATACATAAAAATGTGAATTCAAACAGCTCCCAGGTCCAAAATTTTACACTTTAATTGTTTGTGGATGTGTCAGCAACAAGTTGAAGTATAAATAATTGAACTAATTTAGTAGGAAACTTCTCTTGAGATCTCGAATTTTCATCAACTTTAAACTTGGATGTTTATATCAAGGAACACTTGCAAGTTAGACTTTTGCCATTTTATCAAAGTCATAATGTCCCCTGCTGGCTCTGACCTGATCTTGCTTTTTGTCAATACTCTAAGAAGACCGTAGAGTGGTACAATTGCAGAGACATCAAATTCATACCAAAAAGCTTGAATCAACCAAACTGCCGACAGCTCCATCCCATTGACAAATTTTGGGGTATAGGCAAAAATTTGTGAAAGAGTGTAAAGTAAAACAGTAAGTACAGCTAAAGATTTGATTAGAGAAAAATTGGCAAAGATACTGTGCAGATGCTGATGTCGCTAATTAGCGTAAATGTTTGCTTATTTATTTGAAATAATGAAAAATATTAAAATAAAAAGCTTTTTTATAATCTTTAAGTTCCTTAAATTAAAATAAATATTGAAGTTTTTGCATTAGTTTAATTAATTATTAATTTTTTTTTTTTCATTGTTCCAAATTTAATGATCACATGCTTTAAGAATGATCTAGGGACAGCGATGTTTGACTTTTTTTTGACCCGTGGATTAATATACTGAAAACATTAAGTATATCCAATTACATGAAATCTAATTTATATTTAATTTTATTAAAGCAATTCAATTTATTAAAATATAGCAGTAAAAATTTCTCATTCATTAACAAACTTTTTGCTCTGTTCAAAATTTATTTTCAAATTTGCTCAAAACCTTGCTTAAATAATAGAAATTTTCTTATTAACTCTTTACTTTAAATTAGTAAACATTTAAAAATAAAATATGAAAAAATATATGAAATAAAAAAATTAATTGAATTTTAGTCTCCAATATGAAAAAAAAGTATTTTGTTACCGAATCCATCAAAATTCTGACTTTTCCATAACTTTTGCAAAATTCAATAGGGTCAGGGTAACAACATTAGTTTTTGATGTCTAATAACATCTGTCCAACAACATCTGTAAATATACTGAGGTATAATAACATCTGCCCAACAACATCTGAAATTTAATTGATGTCTAATAACATCTGTGTTAAGTATATGATTATTACAGATGTAGTTACATTCTTTCAATTATCTAAGTGTAATAACATCTGCACAACTACATCTGGAGGAAATTCTTTCAGATGTTATTGGACTTAAAATTACCAGATGTAGTTACATATTTCTAAAGATGTTGTTAGGGGTCATTGAATTTCCAGATGATATTGGACAGGTGTTGTCGGAGTAAAAAAATATACAGCTGATCTTGGACAAAAGTTTACAAATGGTCTTGGACTACTCTACAGATGTTGTTGGACAGATGTAGCAATCTTTTGCCAATTCAATATATTCCCTGAATTTTCCTTGACTTTTTAACATAGTTTAGAATTTCCCTGACTGTTCTAGGTTTTCCAGGTTGCTGGCCACCCTGATTTATTTTAGTGTTAAAAATTTTTCACTTTTTCAATGCAATTTTCAATCCCCATGAATATTCCTTAACAAATTCATCCAAATATCCATCAGTTATTCACACCAGCAGTTATTCGAAATTTCGTTTATTCGAAGTAATTTTTTGCTGCCCTTATCAAACATCCCATCATTTATTTGAAGTTTTCTTTCGACTCAAGATACCATTGCATTGCATTTCAAAATATAACTTTATCAAATGTAATCAAAATGTATATAAAAAAAATAACGTTATCAAAATTTAAAAAAATTGAACACATTAAACATTAGTACTATGCCCATACCGTTAGAGTGAGATCGACCACCCTTTTTTTAGTAAACTCACTTTGCTTCACGCAAATTTTTTAGTAAAAATTGAGCAAAAATGTCAAATTATCAATCAAAGATAAATATCTTGCTTTTAAAAATTCAAACTAAAAAGAATATAGCCAAAAAGTATTAAGCATTAAGAAGACATAATCATAAAGAGTCAGTCAATTTGGGGCTAAGAAATAAAAGTTAAGTTTTGGAAGATTTTGTTGATAAATCTTTTTCATAAATTGTATAGATTTAATTTTTTTATTTTAAACTTATTTTTTTGAAGGTAAAGACCTAAACAGCATCTTATTTCAAATTTTCTTTTCTTTCATAGTCTCTTCTGTTAAAGTTTGATAATATCTTGAAATAAGACACTTTAAAGAAGATTTTCAGTTATTCAAAGTAAATTCTAATTCTCCTAGGAGGTTTGAATAACCAGGAGTTTACTATACTTAAAAAACATTTTATAAAATACAATACAAATATAAATAAGTCAAATTAGCCCATTTTTACTAAATACAAATATGTATTTGGCCCCAACTTTACTCAAGACCAGATATTATATTGTTGAATATTATATTTTGATATCTGTGCTTACTATTAATGTTAAGGTTAACTTTAATTTCATACTATTTAATTAAATATATTTGCATACACATACACACTAGATGTGTCCCGAAAAAAAATTATTTAAAAACTTGAGTTATAGCTATGATAAACAATTAATCATTTTCAAAAAATTCCAAATAATGAATATAAAACTCAAATGTTGCACTATTTACAAGATCAAAAGTTTAGTCTGTAGCAACAGTGGCATATGTCATCAAGATGCTTTTGCGGCAATCTGGAATGCGTTTTCTGTTGTCATTAACAACTTGTATTATTTTCTGCATTTCAGATTCAGTTTTAGCAATGGATTGATTAAATGTGCTCATAAGAGCAACAGAACGCTCAGCAGCGTCATTGATAACTTTCACAGATTTAACAATTGCTTTAGTATAATGAAATTCAGCAATTTCCTCCCAGGTCTTTGGATCGGTTCCAGATAAAATGGTTACATCGAGACCAAGTGACTGCAAAGCAGCAGTTGATGATGATGTAACAAGCTCATGAAGTTGCTTCTTTTCCAAATTGTTTAATTCTGCTGCTCGACACTTTATACCCCTGACACTCCAATCAGCTCCACTTTGAATCATAGATTCAACAACCAACTTTTTTTCTGTGTCACAAACCCTGTCAGAAAATAATGAAAGTGGAATCATTTCTGACCCAAGGTACCAAGTGTTCTTTTGAGGCTTCTTCATAGCAGCATTTGAAATGACCTTGTTGATCTTAGAATATTGTTTAATTTTTGTGAAGAGCATCAGGTCATTTGTTGGAGCATCACTTATACATAGATATGAGCAGCAACGATACAAAATTCGCACAAGTTGCTCTGTTCTTTCATAGTCAGCTTGAATTCATTTCTTAAGAGGTATATTTTCATACAATAGATGACTTTAGCCATCCATCTAGCCATGTGATAAGCTCCCGGCATGCGAAAGCGATACTTCTTGGTAGTATAGTCTGATAACGGAAAACACAAAATGAAAAGGCACAGCTCGATCATCTCTTTGTAGTCTTCTCTTGGTAAGTGCGAAGAGTCATCTGATAAGAAAGACTGCAGAAATGAGCCAGCCTCTGATCTAAGTTGCTGAAGCTGTGGTTCAGCAAGATGGGCGTCATCTAATGGAGCATAATTGGCTTGATTTATGCTTGGCCAACACTTCTGAAATCGTTCAAATAGAGCTATGTTAGGCCCACTGCTGGGTCCAAGCAATACTGAGTATATTTCCCCAATAATTACTTCATGCATATGGTGACAGCAAGCAAAGTAGATAAGATTTTA